CTGTCACGGAGATTGTAGTTTACGCTCTTCAAGACCTTTCTATCATGCGAATTAGAGTCCTAAGACTAAGATTTAAAATGAGACTGAGAAACCATACAAGAAAAAGGAGATAAACAGGTACTAACTTAAACATTGAACCATACGAATCCGATGCCAGCATTTAATCAAGACCTACTAAGTTCATTATGACATAGAAAGATAAGAATCTAGTGATTGCTGTTGGGAAAATTAAGGGAGTTTGTCTAAATTCCCAAAAACTGGAACAATAGAAAAAGTTTTCTAGTTTAAAAAAAAAAAAGGCACGTTAGAAGGATCAGAAGTTAAAAAGAAAGGGGAACTCTCAGAATCGGTTTTCAAATCCACACCCATAACTCCCAAGTAGAATGCAGAAAGATGGTAGAGCCTACATATAAAACTAATTTTATTTTTTTCAATTAAAATCAGCAATTTCACATTTAGCAAAATAATCTTCTTTTACTTCTGTCCTAATGGACCAATTATGAATTTATAAAACTAGAACATCCATTAACCTTAAGAACACTTACTGAAGATAACTAAATGAAATGCTATATGCAATAGAAACTACACCGCTCAATATCAATTGTTCTAGGTCGAATTGAAGATTGATGGCATACACAATTAGAAACAAAAGATTGATAATCAGTTCCAGACTCCAAACTCGAAGAAGACAAATCAAAACGTACATTAAAACGTAGACCCATTTGTAAAATTAAAAAACCTTCAAAAATTGAAATGAAAAATGAATACCTTTTTGAGAGTGATAGTTGAAATGGTTGGCATTGAAAGCTTGAGGTGTTGAAAGGAGGAAGACCATGATACAGAAACGGGTTTATCTCCTTTACTTGGTAATAATTCAGATGAGAGAATCAAAGATGAAGGCGTTGCCGCTGAAATGCAAGCAGCCATTATTAGCAAAGCAAAACTGATTTTCTTTAATGAAGGAGATAATGTAACAGATAAAATGGGCTTCTTCTTGTAACTAGATTTTGGGCCTTTAGGCCTGTTAAACATCTGGGCCAAGCCTGTACTAGGGCCTCGGCCTTGATCAATTAACAGACCTGCGTCCAAAAATTACCCTTGGGCATGAATACGATGCCAAATGGGAGTGTAAATAGGGATGGAAAAAAAATAGTGGAAATTACACCCACCCCTACATTTGGAGATTCAAATTCTAAAATCAGATTTTGTGTTTAAAGTTTCAAAAATCAGATATTTAAATATAGATACAGATTTTTTATATTTAATTAAATATTAATAACAATATTATAAAAATTACT